AAGATGCTTCACTTCTTATCCAAGAAGCTTCTTCAGCTTCTTCTTCAATTAAGTGAATCACTGCAAATGTTAAGTTCATAACATAGTCGCTAAGTGAATCTGGCTTTCCCCCATTGACTTTGTGCGTCAGAAGGTCACAAAATGTGATCACGTGACGTGGGGACACCGCAACTGTCATAAATAGGAGTCAGTTGCTCAGTGTCTGAATTTTGATCACCTGGCCATAGGGATGCTGCAACAGCCGTGTAAAAAACAGTCATGAATAACTTTTTTTCCGTGCCGTTACAACTTTGAATGGTCACGAAATGAACTGTTGCAAATTGAGGACTATCTGTACAGTTGCTTGGTTTTAAAGGAGTGACATTTCTAATCTCAGGCTCACCAGACTGGAGGAGTCTTCTTTTTCTGCAAAAGATCCCAAGATCTCTTGGAAATTCTGACACTCCTGTCCTGATTCTTCACCCCATGGCAGGCGCAGCCTATAATCTTTGCAGACATTCTCTCTGTTTCAGCTCAGCTGGCTGTTTTTTTATAGCCTCCATAACATCTCATTACAAACTCTGCACTGTCAACAAAGGTGGTGACACCAGGCCTGACTTAATAAGGAAGCAACAGCTTGGAAGCGTCTGACCTGGAAAGCAGGGCTGAAAAGGGCCCTCTGGTTGCCCACAGACAGGAATACAGAGAGACGGATTTTAAAATAACCTAACATGCAAATTTTGGATCTTGCGTGGTTTGGGAGTTGTTTCTCTTGGTGGAATAGTGTGTTTAAGTGTTCTCTCTGTGTGGGTCTGTATGTTTAAAAATCTCTTATTTGGATGGAAACTCAAATCTAACCAAATTGGGTCCCAAATTACAGAGAAGTATCAAGTCACTTTACTGTTACTAAATTATCTTGAACCCTGAAAAAATACAGTACTCGTAATATAAATTTCTAATCCTTATTTCTAACCAGGTCTGCTTTACCATGATTTTGCAAGCAACCACAATTAATTAGGTTCACAGAGTAGGGTCATAAAACCCAAACGTTTAGTGCAATGTGCAAAAATAAATAAGATGTGCCCCTTGTACTAAGATGTAGCTTGTTTAACCATGAATGCTGAGTCAGTTGCAACAGGTGCAATTCCCACATGCACTAATTGTGTGCAGCTAAAACCAAACAAATGCTTAATGGGACAGTAAATAATAAAATCACAGGGCTGGAAGAGACCTTGGAGATCTTCTAGTCCAACCCCTTGCCTAAGGCACTTATACGTGACTAGCCAAATGACCGTGGAATCTTTTCCTCCAAGAACAAAATGTTTGATTTTATCCCAGATTCTTCCTCAGTATTTATTATATGTATGTGTAAATGTAGAGTGAAATGGGGGGATTGAAACAGGTTTTGGCAAGATAGTTTAATAGCAATCTTCACTGTTCAAAAAACACATAATCCTTGATTAACAACCATTCATTTAACAAGGTTGCAACAGCAATGAAAAAACTTGACAACCACTCCTCACCCTTATGACTATCTCCATGGTCACATGATCAAAATTCAGTAGCTTGGCAACTGGCATGTACTTATGACGGTTGCCTGGGGCACTTGATCACCATTTGCAACCTTCCCAGCAGGCGTTTAATGAGTAAAGAGGGGAGGGGGAGTTTGATTCCCTTAACAAAACCAGTAATTCGTTTAAAAATCATTGGTAAAAAAGTTCACAAAATTGGGCATAATTCCCTTAACAACCTCCTTGCCTAGCAATGGAATACTGGTCCCAATCGTCATAAGCCCCTGTAAGGACTCCCTGTAAGGGGCTCTCCTGCAGTTAATGCCAGTGAAATTCAGATTTTAATTGGTGGCTTTTGGGGAGGTGCTGCAAAACATGTTTCTCAACCTCTCAACTTTTTAAGATGTGTGGATTTTTGACTCAGCCAGGTGGGGAATTCTGGGAATCAGACTCCACACCCCTTCAGTTTGCTAAGAGTGTCAGACAAGCACTGTCTGGAGGGGTCCTTGACCGTGTCATTCTTGAAATGTTCCCTCCTTGGTCAGACAGACTTAATTGATCTGTTAAAGTGAGGGAAATCACTTTCTTTTTCTTTCTTTTCTCCCCTGAATTACTTGCATAGGGATTATTCTTTATACTATTTATGTTGTTTGCATGTTTTGTCATGGATTGCACCAGTGAGGCTAAAATCAATTTCGTTGTATACATGATGTACAATGACAATAAAGGCTATACTATAATAAATATGTATTTAGTATATATTTAGGACACAGTGGCTAAGAGACTGAGCTTGTTGATCAGAAAGGTCAGCAGTTCGGCGGTTCGACTTCCTAGCGCCACGTAACGGAGTGACCTCCTGTTACTTGTCCCAGCTTCTGCCAACCTAGCAGTTNGACTTCTGCTTTAGCACAAAAAAAAAAGTCACTGAGCCAGCAAATATACAACTCACTTGCCAATTAAAAAGGTGTCACATGAATTAGGGCTTTTAAAAAAAAAAAAAAAAAAAAGGGGGGGGGGGAAGAAGGATTTGAACACACCAGACAAACCTGATTCTTTCCATAGGAAACAGCCAAATGGCTGGCCGTGAATCAGACAATTTTACACACACACAGAAAGAACACGCAAACCACACACAGAAACCTTTTCGCCCCGGAAAAATAAGGCCACCTATCACAAGAAGTGAAACTTCAAAATAGCTCCTGCACAGTTCAGAGGCCTTAAATAGGTCAGTGCTTCACAGCGGCTGTCACAGAATTGGACTCAGCCCAGGTAAAAGGCGTTTTAAAGGCTTGGGAGAGAGTTATTGGAAAAAGGGATAATTCAGGCTGACAAGGAGAGGAGAAGAATAAGTGTCTCTGTGTGGTTCACCCAGGATCTTGGCACAGATATGAGCTAATGAGCACCTGTAACCTTTTTGTCCAGCCACATCGCATTTCCCAATCATACCAACCACCAGTTTTCTCTTTGCAGAAAGAATTCCACATCCCACCTAGAAAGCAGAATGGATCCCCGAGCGGGGAAGAGCGCCAGGCTTTCTCTGCAGCGGCTCAGCCGCGAGCGAAAGCGGTTTGGACACTGAACAATGAATGACTAATAGCGGAGGGATGACATTTTTTAAAAAACGACTTTGCAGAAAAGTATCTAAGAATAAAACCGTAAGAGAGCCACGGCTTTCTTGGAACGATCCTTATCTCAAAATAGAAACACGGCATTTTAAGGAAGGGATTTATCACAGGGAAACGTCCGCTTCGAAGGCAGCGCTCCCCCCGCCCCCAGTTTGAAACATAAGCCACACGCTTGGGGAAGGCAAGTTATTTCGTAATTATGGGATGCCGAGGCAACTCTGGTCTTTTGACTCACCGCTGGAGCAGTCTGGCCCTCCCCATCCGGGTTCACAGTGACAGGTGTCGGGGGACACACACCGTCCGTGGACGCATTCCTCAGTGCAGAGAGCTAGGAAAGAAAGAGAGATGCGTTACCTCAGTGTCGCAGGCCAGAAAAGCTAATATGTGTATGATGTTATTAAAATTTCAAGCAAACTCATTTGCTTGTTTTTTTAATTCCCAGAAATTAATTTCAAATTTAAGTGGAAGGCTAAAATCCAGGAAACCCTCACTGTTCTGACCTAGGCTTNAAGTAGGAAAGTAACTTTACTTTATAAAATTTATAAAGCAGAGCTACAGCAAACCCCTACCGCCCACCATGAAAGCTGGAACACCCACTAGTGGGCGGTAGGGACCAGATTGACTACCACTGGCATAGGATTTTATTGGTGATATATGTTTGAACCTTGTGCTTTGATATGGCCTATAGGCTAATCAATAAAGCTATAATCTAACTATATTATTTATATCCTGCTGTACATTTCAGGAACTCAAGGCAACTTAGAAAAGACCTTAGCCTTCCCAGCCATACCTCTTGTAAGAAAGGCTGAAGTGAATAAGAGTGCCTAAACCCTCCAGTGAATTTACCTGACTAATACTGGGGTCTCCCTGTTCCTATCCCAGCACCTACCACCTTACACCTGATTGGCTCATGGGCTGAGAGGGAGGGACCAGCGCAAAGTCAACCAATGAGCTTCTGTAGGTAACGAGAGACTAGATCTCCCTGTTCCTGGTCCAGGAACTTCACCACTAGCCATAATGGCTGCTGGGTTGAGAGTGAGTTCCTCCCCCAAGGGAATCTCTATGGCTGAGGAAAGGCTAGAATTTAAGTCTCCCTCCTTCAATATCTTCACCGTCATCCTTCATTGGCTCTTTGGTTCTTTTTCTGATGTGCAGAGGCTCTAGGGATGTGGGATCAACTGGAGAAGAAAGCATTGCCAAAGCGGCCTTTAACTCTCAAAGTATCCTTGGCTCTTCCCATGGCTCCTTCCTACATCTTTCCCCAGGGCCCTAATGCCATCATTGACCAACTGGCTTCTTATAAGCATTACTCTGAGCAGGTGGACCCCATATCTAGAGCCTGATGGGCAATTTGGAGAAACCTTCTGGCCAAAGCTTACTCAGATGACCAAGCCGGTGTCAGAATTTGCAGCAGCAATCACCCCCAGAAAGCACACAGACCAGTAACTGATTCAGCAGGATTCATTAACTTCTTTATATACATAATAACACATGAGGCATACATACGATACCCATGCTGGTTCTTCCAACATGGTAGAGAGAAGAGATTGTACAGTGCAAACACAGGCAGAGGAGAGAACAGTTTCAGTTTTGAGCAACAGACTATGGTAGGTTTGAGGTCAGCACAGACTCAGAGCTCCAGAGCTAAGCCACACCCAGGCCCCAAACTGTTTCAGCTCCCATTGGCTGACCTTGTTACTAAGCCTTATCCCAGTTCAGTAATATGTCTACGCTGACAGCCAGTTGAATTAAAGCAGAGAAGATGACAGCTTCCCCTTGAGTTCCTGCTTGGGCTGGTGCATCACCAAAAGGAACTCCTGGGTTTCACCTCAACACAGAGCTGGCCCTGGGTTTGAGGCCATTTTATAATCCCCACCTTTGCACCATGCCTCACAAGGAAGAAGGGTAAGAGTTGCACCAGAGAGCCAATTCCGCCTCCCCATTTCCTCAATTCCTTATTATACTGACTCCAGGTTTCTCCCCCTGCTAAGCTACAAATCTTAAAATCTCATACAGGAGATAAAGACCCATTGCCTTCACGGGCAAAAAAAAATAAAATAAAGGATGAAAGACAGAAGAGATGATGCTGAAAAGGGTAATTCAGAAAAACAAGACTTCTGGGCAATATTTCATAATGGTTTTTACAGGAGGCTTTTTAAAAGCTCTCTAATAATAGCGACTCCCTATTTCGTGCAAACTTCCTCGTTCTTTCCAGCCTTCTTTTGAGCATGCCTCTTTTTTGGGGGGGGGGGATATTTTCTTAAGATCAGAAAATGTTAAAACTGCTGGCAGGGAGGCAGAGAGAATTCAGGTACTGCCCTGTAAGCAAACCATGTGCCTCTCCCACCACAGATTTCCCAGGTCCCAGATTTCAGCCATGCTGTCAGGGTTCCAAATAGCATCCAAAATTAAATCAGAGTCCGAGGCAAAAGAGTCCTCAAAGTTCCAATTTATTAAGAGAGCCATGTTGGCACATCTGGGAAAACCTGAATC